CAGTCTCGCTATTACACAGCACCGACGGCCTCGACTGCCAACACGACTTTCGAAACATTGTCTCGCTGCAGCTCCTTGGGTTTCTGACCGATGAGTATGAGCAGCTAGACTCCACACGTGCGACACGGTTGCAGATGCCAGATCACAGCATATTTGCCTACCAATGATCTCTCCGATGGCAGATTGCCTGCATCGTAAGGCCTGGCTATATCTACCTGTCAGCACAAAAGGCATAATTCATATGCTTTCGGCAGTGCGGTATTCACCGTAAGACAAAATGTATCGCTGCTTACTGTACGCCCAGCCGTCTGCCAATGACGAGCGCTGGGTCGCAAGCTGCTTAATCAATACTGCAGCATCGGTACGCGACATCGTCTTTACAGCGAGGCGCAGGTATTGAGTTCATTGAGCTGCCATATACATATGCAGGGCGTAAGTCGACTAGGATACAACCGCATCAACTCACAGGCATAAGAACACGTTTGTTTACGCACGAGATGGGGACTTGCTACTTCCCTCTGCCTCATATCTCCATCAGAGATCTTTAACGTGATGATGTCCAACAAATTCGCAGAGGCACATATCGGAGAGCCTCAAGATGTGTTTAACGATCGAAGCCGGGATTACAACGTCGCCGAGAAGGATACAACCACAGCGGACGCCCATGACATGCATCGCATGGGAAAGACGCAGGAAACCCGGCGAAACTTCCGTTCTATCACCATTCTAGGATTCTGTATAGTTCTTCTTTCGACTTGGGAGACTATCCTTGCCACATCCGTCTTTGCCCTTGCCAATGGCGGAACAGCAGGGCTTATCTGGGGATACTTCATCGTCATGATTGGGTTCGGCTTCGTTGTCGCTTCGCTGGCTGAGATGGCGTCGATGTGGGTACAGCTTAATGACCTCCAATGATACTTACTCACTTTTACAGGGCACCAACGGCTGGCGCACAGTACCACTGGGTATCAGAGTTCGCACCACCAAGCTGCCAGAAGTTTCTCAGCTATCTGGTAGGTTGGCTCGGGATTCTGGGCTGGCAGACCGGTGTAGCAACCGTTTCATATCTTTCCGGCAAACAGATCCAGGGCCTCATCATCTTGAACAATCCGTCGTACATTCCGAAGGCGTGGCACGGAACGCTTCTCATCTGGGCTGTCCTAGCCGTGTGCTTGGTGTTCAACACATACCTCTCTCGACATCTACCATTAATAGAAGGAGGCATCGTCATACTCCATGTGGCTGGGTTCTTCGCTGTCGTAATTCCACTCTGGGTCATGAGCGATAGAAGCCACTCTTCCAGCGATGTCTTCACCGTCTTCGAGGACAATATGATGTGGGGGAATATTCCGCTCGCGGTCATTCTTGGCCTTACGAGCGCTACCAGCTCCTTCGTTGGCGTTGAAGCGGGAGCACACATGGCGGAAGAGGTACGCGATGCTGCCCATGTGATCCCGCGCGCTATGATGTGGACGTGGCTCGGGAACGGGTTGCTCGGCTGGATCATGGCAATCACCTTTTGCTTCTGCGTCACCGATACAGTCTCTGTACTTACGACCCCACTTGGCACACCTTTCATTCAAGTTTTCGTCGACACGACCAGGTCCGTAGGTGGCGCGACTGCGCTGACGGTTTTGATGTTGGTTGTTTCAATTTTCGCTTGTGTTGCTATCATGGCAACAAGTTCACGCCAGGTATTTGCCTTCGCTCGTGATAATGGCGTCCCATTTGCGCATGTCTTCAGCAAGGTTCGTCAAAAGCAGACTTTGCCATGGCTATTACTTCAACCTAGAACTGACAGCGAGTAGGTATCAACGAAGCGCCAAGTACCGATCAACTCGACCTACATAACGGTTGTCTTCGTCGTAATTCTGTCATGTATCAACCTTGGCTCCACCGTCGCGTTCATGCAGGTCATTTCACTTGGTTTAGCTTCGATGCTGACCTCGTACTTGATCACGATCTCGTGCGTTGCTTTGAAGCGCATAAGAGGTGAACCGCTTCTGCCGTCCAAGTTCGACCTGGGAAGATTTGGGTTACCGATCAACATTATCGCTGTACTTTTCCTGCTGTTTGCTTGGGTCTTCTGTTTCTTCCCTGTTGGGCCTCGACCAACCGTTACAGATATGAACTGGGCAGTCCTGGGGTATGGAATCGTCGTTCTCTTTGCTGTACTGTACTACGTTCTTCGTGGCCGACACGCGTACGTTGGGCCGGTCAAATACGTTCGGATGGCATGAACGAAGTTTGTTCTTGCCCCGAAGACATACGCTCAAGTTTATAGTCTCAACATGGTTATCGCAGATCTGTTATGAGGAGCTCTGTAAGGACAAGTATGTGGCGCGTGTACCCACCGACACGCCTTCGGCGTGAGACGAATCCGCACATCACTACTAAATATTTACTATACGAGAAGGTCATACATTAGCGCGAAAGCTCATCTCGTCGAAGCGTATACTTCGTCGATGATGAACCGCCTGCGCCACGACATGCCATCAACTATCTACGTATCACTGCCAGTGCCAACCTCAGCGATGTCATCTCACAACGCACCCTATGCACTGACAACACCATACCCCTACTAACTGAAAAGATTCAAGCGCAGCCCTAGAGCAGATCCTTCAAGGCGCGAAGTAACCATTGCTTTCAGCGAACCACAGGGTGCCGGTCACACAGAACAGCAAACATACGATCAGAATCTTCACAGTTCGCTGGATCGAACGTCACAGTAGTGAGAATCTCGGTAGTAGTTGCAGATAAACCTTTTAGATGTTTGCATCTGCGACAGGTATGTTATTACCCTTTCTCACTTTCGCTCTTATGAGCGTATCGGTTGTCTCCGCAGCGCCTGTTCGCCCTTCTCTGTCCATCATGGAGCCAACGAAAGTTACGGTAATGGCCGCATCCATAATCGCAGGTACAGCATCCGCATCAGATAGCGATAACGACCTTCAGGCACGTCAGTGGGAGTGGACGCCCTCAGCGCCAGCATGGACTGAACCCGCGTGGACCGAACCCGTATGGACCGAACCTGCGTGGACCGAACCCGCATGGACCGAACCTGCCTGGTCCGATCCAGCCATCGCACCCGTACCAACAGCCTCACTTTGGACCCCTTCTCCATCAAATCCGTACATCGAAGCTACCGTGCCTGCATCCACGCCGACGTACTCATATGATGAAACCCATCGCCCCGACCCCAACGACGCTAAGACAAACGGTATAATCGCTGGGTGCGTCATCGGCGCTTTGATCGGCATACCCATCCTCATATGGATTGTTACCACTGTGAGGCAGTGCTGCCACAGGCGTGGTCTCGCGGCATCTGAAAAGGATGGAATTGATGTCGAAGCCGACGCCAACCACCAACGTGCTTCGCAGGCGCTGACTCCTAGTACGCCCCGCACAGCAATTACCAGCGATCATACGCGGAGTAATGACAGTTTTATTCCGGCACCGACTCAAGGTTGTGACATCGTCGATGCGCCGCGTCTAGCTGAATCGCCTGATGATTTGATCTATAAGCCTCGTCGCCCCTCTCCAGTTTATCGAAACAATATTCCTCCTCAGGAAACGCATTGGCCGGTTGAGGAGATGGAGCAGGACTTCACGTCGACGCGCAGAGTCTGGTATCGGGAAGTTTAGTAATTGAGAGTCGGACGTGACGCTTTACCCATTGAGTGCGCTCATGCATGATACCGATGGTGTGGTGTAACAAAGCGCAATGGATGATTAGAAACTCTTTTTAGCATTCGAGACGACTGTTTATAGATCGCAATTTGGAACTCTTGATCTAACACTGGCTCGACCGCGTCGTATGAAAACTCCCTAGAAATACACTGGCTTTGAGTATCGGCCTCAATCTTACAATCGTCGCTGTCGAGTCTTTGCCGCCCTAGCTCTACATCGCCTCTTAGACCAGTCAACAACTATAGCTACCAAAGTCGGCAAAGTCAAGATATTAACCAAAGTGATGACCACCACCACAATACTCCCCACTAACAATACAGGGTCTCGACTAAACTTCTCATCGCCAGTCGAGCGCCAGAAAAGCAACACCATAAGTCCGATATTCCAGGTAATTACAATGAGAACGTTCCGCATTACTAGCGCGATGATATGGAAACTCTGAACGCTGCCGTTGACATACCAGTCAGGATGTTGCATGACGCATTGGATTTCCTCGCGGATAGACAAGCATGGCAAGTCGAGTATGTAACGCTCGAAGATGTGGAACCACACCGAGCCAACACAAGAATCGACCAAAGTGCGAACCATGGAGCTCTCATGGGCAGGGCGATGGGGGAGAAGATGGTTCCAGTATGGGCATCTGTCGGGCTGTCGTTTCATCCACTCATACAAGCACTTGTCTCCCACAATGTGACCACACGGTGTGATCTGGAGGGGCCGACAGTCGTCGATGGAGAAGGGCTCGCGGCAGATGTAGCATACATCGTCTTCTTCGACGGAAACTATGTTGAATTTGTAATCGGGGATCAGTGGGACGGCCATGAGTGGCTGGAGGAAGTGCGGCATGGTTTGTGGAGGGAATGTTATGGTGACTGTGTATTGTAGTGATTGTTTCTGCGGGAGGTCGGTCGTAGTGCGAGTTATAGTAGAGGCGAATTGCTGATGGAAAGAGTCTTGGCTGGCTTCGACTGCAATCTATATCTTCCGCGGAAGTGACTGAGCATCACCCTGTGCAAGCACACACAGCTGAAGTACTCTGAACAAATTTGTCGGTGAATGGCTTGGGGAGAAGTTAGTCAGCGACCAGATCAAGGGACAGCGCGGAATCCAAAGAGCAAGACACGACTGAGCGTGTATGTCATTCAATTGATGAGAATCGATATGGCTAGTTCATGACTCGTATCCAGGGTATAAGCCTCCCATGCCCAACGACCAAACGCCCAGTATGCCCAAATCACAACGTGTACTGACATAAGCCGACAGAAAACCCATAACCTGCGCCGTCATTATCGCATTATTTTGTGATGATCTCATAGCTCAGGCTTCGCCTTGTCCTCCTTGACGTCATCTTTCTCAACCACCACAAAGTCATCATCGGTGTCGGTGGTCTTTTGCTTCTTCGGAGATGGCTGTTGAGCATCGTCGGTATCTTTAGGGTCGGCTGTCGGGGCGTCTGGAAGTTGCGATGCGAGTTCGGAGGGTTCGGTGGACTGTTCGTCTTGCGCCTTGGGGTCGGAGTCGACCGATGGGAAGTAGTCACTAGGTAGTCGTTAGTATATGAAGTGAGACTCATGACAGCTGAGACTTACGGGATATTCTTGAAGTACGCGTCCTCGTCTTTCTGGAGGAAATTGCAGAATATGACGCGGTCAAGCTTGTCCGCCTTGCCCTCTTCTTCGAGGAACTTCCGCACAGTCTCGAGCGCAACTGTGCTGGCCTCACCGCTGGGGTAGCCGTAGACGCCAGTGCTCAACGCTGAGAATGCGATGCTCTTGCAGCCATTCTCGACTGCTAGCTCCAAGCTCGTGCGGTAGCAGCCTGATAGTAGTTCTGCTGAGCGCGAGCCCTCCTTCCAGTATATCGGCCCAACGGCGTGGATAACCTTCTTGCTAGGCAGTTCGTAGCCATCTGTGATCTTGGCACTGCCTGTCTGACAGCCGTCCAGCGTCTCACACTCTTCTAACAAGCCGGGCCCAGCTGCGCGATGGATCGCGCCATCCACGCCTCCACCACCCAGAAGGGAAGTATTCGCGGCGTTGACGATGGCATCGATGGCTAGCGTTGTGATGTCTTGTCGGATGACGCTGATCTTGTCGTTGAGGGTAGCGGACGCGTTGTATGTGGACTGGCCCTTGTCGTCGCTTGGCACGATCTTCTTTAGCTTGTAGAGCAAGGTGAGGGTGGGGATCTCGTCGAGAGATAGTGTGTCGGCCATTTTGGGTGACGCGCTTCGTGATCGGGAGGACAAAGGTCTTGCGAGATAATATGCGCTCGTCATGAGTGGTCGGAGTGGTCGTAACGCGCGTGTGGCAGGTGTTATTAGCATGAAGGGAAGCGCCGTGGGAGAGTACCTGGAGAGCTGGTGGGCGCGGCAGGAGCTTGGGCCCAGGCCCCCTCTCGCAGCTACCCCGCTTACTAACTAGCCTTTCCCTATTAGTGCGAACTATGCAGCCCATGCTCTTCGTGATTTATCACCTTTCACCACAATTTCCTATCATAGCTATCACTTAACGGACTGGTCTTCAAGGCGTAGGGCATTATATCAGAAATCAATTCTAGTTCCTGTCGTGATCTCGTAGATGCGATCCAATGTACGGCCTCAGTCTTGCATCGAATGCCCCTGCATTTAACGACACTCAGATACGGGTCTTTAATACATGCTTCTACCAGAGAATTATCCCAATCGCCCCAGAGGTTGCTAGTAATCTTCTTGCTTTGAAGCTAACGCCCCTAGTGAATCCTCAAGAAGAGGTCAACACTGATGAAGTAGTCGCTGGTACTTCTTTTTTTGCCTCAATTTCGAATTCCTCCTTCCATCTGTCCAGAACCTGGGTGTATGCTGTCTCAGTAGTTACACGATCAAAAGTAACAAGTAAATCATATCCAGCCCGCTTAAGTCGCCATAAACTGGGATGAACGTAATGTAGCCAATGTTGTAGTGCATGTGCTGTTGTCTCTTCTTCCAGAAACCGGCCCGCGTGAGGGAGCCTGAGACGAAGATGAATTTTCGCTCCTTGTTTGAGCAGAGCTAGGTTGTCTAAGCCAGTCAAGATGCTTCCAAAATAATCGTCGGCGGCTGGAAGGTCGAGAACGACAACTATGTTGCGTAATAGTTGCTCGGGCTTGAGGCCAAGCCCAAAGCGATCATACCACAGCATACGAGGGAGGTGATCGAGAACGATCGCGGGACGGCAATACTGACGAAGATTTCTTGGAACGTAGAGATAAGGGGTAGAGTTGTGATCCCACTCACGAGTGCCTCTTGGAAACTCGAGATGGAAGGTAGCGTTGTGATACCAGGACTCGGTCAGTTCCTTCTGTACTTGATATCCGAGCACGCCAATACGCCAGTAATGCGCCCCACATAACCTGTCCTTGAAGGTACAGGGAGAGGGGGAATACCAGCGCTCTGATAAGAAGTGCAGCGGTGACGACATAGACGGGATAGTCGGGTAGGCTGTGGCGGCAAGCGCAGGTTCTGTACAAACGGTAACTTCCTCCGAGGTGATGTGCTCGTACACCATGTCTCTCAGTTCCCTTGGAAACTTGTAGTGCATGGCTGCGCAGACGTTGCGGGAGTGAAATGAGTTATAGGCGTCGCACTCTGACCTGAGACTCCACTGGACTCTAAGGAGCTGGCGGATAATACGTCTTAATGACTTTCGATATGCTCCATGATGGGGGTGAGGACGCTTCGGGGATTGACATCGATTTTTCTCGTCGATGAGCGTTCGCTCCTGGCTAACGAGTCCATATAACCTCATTACGAGATTCGACTCGGGTCGTTCTGTACCGGCGTATCTCCGGATAGATTCCTGAAAGGCCAGAGATCCGTAAGTGTTCGTCAACATAGCGGCTTAGGTAGCTACTTCGTGCAGTCTGCTGGTATTGGGTATGTAGGTGTTGTTTTCGATATGCAAATTCCAGTGGGTCGCGGCTCCAACTTTGTATGCGCATTTTGCGCGCCAGCATTTGGTCGAACCATGGTTCGTTGACAACCTGAGTCACAACTGTTTTCTGGGACTTCCACGCTTTGCACGATTCGCATGGAGGAACCTGTAGTTAGGCTTGATTCTTAATGCTGTAGTTGTGAGTAGTTCATACGATCTAGAACCCTGTTCAACTGAACTTTGGTGGCGCGTAGTTTCACAACTACTGCCTTAGTCGTCTCCGCGAAGCCTAATCCAATACTTCTCCATCTATGGTCTTGACGTGCGCTAGAACTGGCTCAGAGGACGTCGATATCCCCCAGAATGACAAGCTAGACGCGAACGCCGCACTATCACGTCGCCACTCCGTATGCAATGTCGCATGCATCTCATTGGCATAACAAACATCGCCTTTGCGAGACGTCAGTTACGTTGTCGGCCGCGGTCTTACCCTAGCGTAGTCCAAGTCAACATGCCAATACTCTTGTAAGGTGTAGAACATGATATAGCCAGCCAAACACATTGTTGCTGCTGACAGTAGCGAGCTAAGCGACTTGCCGCCGTGCCCAGGTGCGATGGACCGTCCCGCAATTTTATCGTATACGGCGGCTCCGTCATCTTGTGCATGTCAAGAGAGGCTGTGCCAGGGCTTGGTGTCTTGGGGCGGAAATATTCATCCTGCCACGTGCCAGCGGAGCGCGAGCATGCCCAGGTGTGGTCTGATAATCTGCAGCTGTTATGCGGCATTCGGCCGTTGTCCGTAGAGACGGATGTTGCATATCGCGATTCCATGGTTCGATCTTACATGCGGGCCATTTCCAGACAGCAAACATATTTACTGCTAGAGTTGTTCCATGGTAGTTTGGTTGAGGTGAAGGTACTAGGTTACCAGATGCAAGATCGAAAACGGCATGGAGTTCCACCACGGGCATAGATTTTCCCCCGACCCGCTCTTTACCCCGCACACGCTACCGGCGCCCACTGTTCTGTCAAGCTTCACCACCCATACCGTCGATAACGGTCGGCCGCCAAGTGCCTTATGTGCATCCCCCATGCGGCTTTCTACCTATAACATATCGCGACCCCAGATGCCAACCAAAGGGTAAGGCTTGACCTTGTCGGCTGCCAAGTGGACCCTTCCCCAGATTCGCTACGATGATCCGAGAAATAGCTTGGAACAGCAGGTGTTGCGGCAAACATGGGACGATGCTAGTCCTCATGCATTTTCCCCGCGGGGTATGGCTGTAGTGATGGCGAGGTAGCATCATGAAGGATGGCTCGGCAATGAAAGCCTGCAAAGCGAGGCAGCGGGCATAAGAGCACAACGCCCTTCGCTCGGAATGCTCATAATCAGGCTAGAAACCATACTCTATCCATTAATCTTACGATCAATCTCACTCAATCTTAAATCAACATATGGGTTGCTTTAACACTCATGCATCCGGTACTCTGGACCCGCCAGAGGTCCGCAATTGGCGGATCCACCTCATCGCACTCATCGCCTCGATGTCTGCGCTAGCTAGTAAGTATGACGAGAACTGTTGAAGTCTGAAATCTAACGTGGAAACAGTGGGTTACGATACAGCTGTTATTGGCGGGACTATGGCACTCGAATCCTTCATTCGTGACTTTGGCATGAACGACATTGCAAAGAGCAATCGTGACACAATTCAAGGCAACATCGTTTCTACATTCCAGGTAGGTTTCCGGAAACGAGCTGCTGCCAAGTCGTCGCGGACTGACAATGAATAGGCAGGATGCTTCTTCGGAGCGCTTATCGCTTTCCCCTTCGCGGAACGCATTGGGCGAAAAAAGACTATGATTTTTGCGTCCGCGGTATTCCTGCTTGGCGGCACACTCATGACTGCCTCTCAAGGAAGTCTCAACATGATATACGGCGGTCGAGCAGTAGCAGGCCTAGGCATCGGCGCATCAAGTATGGTCGTGCCTGTCTACATCTCTGAAACAGCTCCACCTTCTATTCGTGGCAGATTGGTCGGTATCTTCGAAATCGCTTCTCAAGGTGGAGGTATGCTGGGCTTCTGGATCAACTATGCTTGTGACCAGACCATTAGCGTCGAAGGCCAGACGCAGTGGATCGTCCCTCTTGCGATCCAGCTCATCCCCGGTCTGCTCTTGCTTCTCGGTGTCGCATGGTGCCCTGAGTCGCCTCGATACCTCGCAAAGAAGGACAACTTCGAAGGGGCAGAACGCATCTTGTGTAAGATTCGGTGCCTCGACGAGTCACATGCGTACATCCAGCACGAAATGAGCGAGATCCGCGCGCAAGTCGAACGGCGTAGCGCCAATCGACAGAGCAAGAAGCAACAGTTCATGAAGCTATTCCAGAAGGGTGTGCGCAACCGCATGGCCATTGGTCTTGCACTCATGTTCCTGCAGTCCTTCACTGGTGTAAGTATATACCATCTGCACGGCATGATAGAGGCTAATCTGTCAGGTCAACATCATCACTTACTACGCACCTCGCATCTTCGAAACACTCGGTATCTCGGGAACGTCGCTGAAGCTCTTCTCCACTGGATTTTACGGTATCGCAAAGACACTCGGCATGTTCACCTTTACCTTCATCGTTGTCGAGAAGGTTGGTCGTCGCAAGGGCCTTATCTGGGGAGCTGCACTCGGCTGCATACCCATGTGGTACATCGGCGGCTATGTCATGAAGGCTGATCCAGCTGGTGCTGCTTTGAGAGGCGATGTCACACGCAACGGCTGGGGCTACCTTGCGATGGTCTGCGTCTACGTCAACGCCTTCATCATCTGCGCTACGTGGCAGGGAATCACGTGGACTTACGCTTCCGAGATCTTCCCACTCGACATCCGTATGCTTTGCGTCTCGCTCACTACAGCGGACACTTGGCTGGGTTCCTTCATCATTGCCCGCAGCACCCCGTACATGATCTCAGATCTGGGCTATGGGGCTTACTTCTTCTTCGCTACCATCTTAGTCGCAATGGGTATCTGGAGTTTCTTCTTCGTACCCGAGACGAAAGGTATCAGTCTTGAGGAGATGGACGCCCTCTTCCTAAGGCCGATGCATCAGGCTGTTTGGGCGCAGCTTCGCGGCAGGCCGATTTTGACCGAGGAAGAAGTCATTGCAAGGAATAAGGGTATGGAAAATGAGAAGGATGTTGGTATTGAGACGATTGAAACAGTAAAGAGATAAGACGAATGAAGGCGACGAGGGTGTGCGATCGATGATGGCCGAGAACTCGGCGTCATTCCCCTTGTCGCCAAAGAAGGCGGGCGGACGCGCTTGGACCTCTTCAAGGTTCCTGCGGCATTCAATCAACAACTCCGTCTTCATACTCTTGAATCCTCCTGGCGCTTGTGACAGATGATGAACTGATATTCTGATATTGACTCACATTGCTCATCTTCATCGATGCTGCAATACTAACTCAACGTGCCTAGCCCTACAGCTTTCCGGGTAGGGGGTAGTGGCTTAGGTAATCATGGCTTGGCACAGATCGCGTTCCTCCTCACTGGAAAGCTGGCCTCCTGCATTATCGCTCTGACAACCCAACCTTACGAATTAGAACAGACCGCAGACTTTCTCCGACGACGTATATCGCACGATGGATCACTGCTCGACATGGACACCAGAGCTGCAAGCGGTCCCATCGCCCCGGTAGAACACGACGAGCTCTGGCGCCCGCATTCAATAGCGACTTTCCACGCGACAGCACGACCACCGAAAATCCTGTGAGACGGACGAGATGTGGAGAAGTAATTGCATTTGGTGTCTGACAGCCACGGTCGCGTCAGTACCTCGATGACGGTCGATGCCTGCAAAGATTGCCGAGGTACCCATGTGCGATGATTGGCTGAAAGAGCGGATGATCTACGGCGAAAGGGGAGCTTGCGCAGTGCCGAGGCATCGTCAACGAGCTGATTGGTGGTCGGACTATAAGAGGAACTCACCGGAAGCGATTTGTAGACCGCATCCAGATCTGTTGCAGGGGAAATGGACTCTTGCATCTGGCCGTGCGCGCTATTTGTCGATCACCTGGAGCCACGACTCCGGATGCTGGGGCATAGGCTGTCGTTCTCGCTTTCGCTTGAGCCGTGGACCGCTCTTCCTACCACGATCATAGGCTACATCATGCCCCCGAAGACGCTTAAACCCTGGGGTAGCCTCCACTACCGCTCAGGCTAAACGAAGACCGCCGATGATCTGCACACAACACCGACAAAACTTACACTATCAACATCGTGCTGACAGACTAGCATCTAAATCAAATCGCCCTAGCGTGCTGTCAACTTGACTTATAACAGGCGTTCCCCAACATGGAAGTAAATGATCCGAGAGTCTTGCGTGACTTCCAACTCTATACTCTCAGTCATCCCCTACCTCCACGATGGCATTGCACATCGCTTCGTCCGTGGGCAAAGCGCTTTTGCTATGCTCTTTTGCGTCAACAGTCCTGTCAGCGCCTGTTGAAAACGGGCCAACTGTCACCCTTGCCTCTGGTGTCATCATAGGAACCACGACCAAGCCCTCAAACCAGCCTTCATTGGCAGCCTCAGCGAACGCCTACTTGGGAGTTCCTTTTGCCAAGTCACCTCCGCTTCGATTCGCGCCACCCGAAGCAGCAGTACCTTGGTCTAGTCCTCTTCAGGCCCAAAACGTCAAACCATCATGTATTCAGCAGTTTTCCGGCACTGGCGGTGTCCGCGATAGAACCATAGAGTACTTCAATGACCCTACCTTTCCACCGCCAGAGGAGAGTGAAGACTGCCTGTATCTCAATGTCTACACACCACCGGATGTAACATCTTCAAGCAAGAAGGCTGTCATGTTTTGGCTCTTTGGAGTATGCATCTACTGCCGATTTACTCAGACTCGACAGTATGCTAACACATGCAGGGTAACTTAGCTTTCGGAACTGGGGGACTAAAGTACTACGACGGAAGCTCTCTAGCAATCAACGAAGATGTCGTTGTAGTCACCATCAACTACCGCACAAACAGTGAGTGTCTCTGTCATTCCAAGTCCAGAAGTTCTGTGACTAACATGCCAAACTTAGTCTTTGGCTTCTCGAACTCGCCCGAAATACCCTTCGGCTCCCAGAACGCTGGCTTCTTGGACCAGAGATTCGCATTGCAGTGGGTACAGGATAACATTGCGCAATTCGGAGGCGATCCTTCCCGCGTCATGATCTTCGGCGAATCCGCAGGCGGGGAGTCAGTGAAGCAACTGTTGGCCAACCCACCCAGCCCACTTCCGTTCTCATCGGCCATCCTTGAGTCTCAGAACGCGGTACTTCCCGGAAACGGCCTCGTCAACTACAAGCAAGTGTTGCTGCATTTCGGCTGCACGGACATTGCGTGTCTTCGCAAGGTACCTGCCGTGGACATCAAAGCATACATTGAGCCGAACTCACTCGCATTCCCACCTGTCAACAACGACGGTACATCAGTCCCCGACGTTAGGCTCAGCATCTCCACCGGAAAGTTCGCCAACGTACCAACAATGCTAGGAACGAACCTAAACGAAGCACGTGCTTTTTTGGCAGTAGCCGGTGTAACGGACGGCAAAACGGCCTTGAACAACTTCTTCGACCAGTACAACATCACTTCGCAGGCCGTTCGTGACTCCATAATCGCAGCGTATGCTGCACAGGGTATCACAGACTTTTACGAGCTATCCGATAGGCTCGGCACAGATTTAGTCTTCACATGCACCACCGCCAGACTAGCGAACTACCTCGCCATCTCTGGTCGCACAACCTATCGATACCAGTTCACACCCGTATTCCCTTCGGTCGGGATTTTCCCCAACCCAGGCGCCTACCACACTGCCGAGATTCCTGAGGTGTTTGGCACATATCCACTTTCGAGTCAGTTCGGTACTGCGACGCAGCAGCAGATTGAACTGAGTGCTTTCATGCAGAAGACTTGGGCGAACTTTGCGAAGAACCCCGCTGGTGGCGTTGGATGGCCCAAAGTGGGCAGTGCGCTTGGCAAAGAGTTGGGTGTGTTGGGCAAAGACGGAAGTAGTGGTGTGACTGTTCGGCCGCTGCTGGAGGCAGACTATGCTTGCCCACTATATGCAGGCGTTGAAGATCTTCTGGGCTTGTCTTTCAAGTAGACGAGATTGTTACGCCCCGCAAACAGCTATGTAAAATACTATAAAGAGTTATTCGTGCTTAAGATGTTATGAGCATCTACGCTTGATACACCAAGCTTACAACGAACAAGGTGATTACAACAGTTGCTAATACCCCTGCGAAGATGCTGAACCCAATTGTCCTTCTACTACTTAACCTCCCCGTAGCAAAATCCTCCTTTAAGTCCTTTTTGACTAAAGGTATCGAGAAAAGGAACCCAATACCAGCCAGCCAATAACCAATAGGGATAATGATCGCCAAGCACAATCGTGTCACCCTCCTGTAGCTTTCACTCGTCGTCTCCTCATCCATCAACGACAGGCCAATGATCTGAGGCCCTGAAGAATAAATGAGAACTTGCACACTACCCCAGATAGCAAGACCAAATGTCTTGTAGCGCGGTGGAAGAAGCAGCGCGATGAGCGCGAAGAGACAGCCCAGCCAAAGTTCCGCTGTGACGTAAGCAAGACTCATGACGCCGTAGAGAATCTTGATGCCTTGGTCTTCTGAGCCATTGGCGACGTCGCGAGAGAAGACCATGAGGAGAACGAATAGGGAGCTTATCATGCCTCCGATACCAGTCAGATAAACAGGCGTTAGTTTCGTACGTGGCCATAACACCGAGGTCAGGATGCCACCACTTAGCACCGCGACTGACCCAACGACACCAACGATGATGCCGTAACGCGAGAAGATTTCGGTATGCGAGGGATACGTATCGCCGAGATAGCTGGGCATGTAGTATCCGAAGACGTTGCCGCTCAGTTGACGGAAGCCGGCGGAGAGAACGAGGAGCCAGAAGGAGTTCATGCGGAGGATGTAGGTGAACGTAGCATGCAGATCAGACTTTGCTGCTTTCAACCTCGATGTACCTTGGATGTGCGGTGGTATATCGGCGAAATCCTCGTCTATGCTGTTGCTGTGATGGCGTGCGTGCATTTGAACCAGACTTTCTCTTCTCTTTGGTTCCCACAGGACGAGTCTCAATAGCACTGCTACAACACATCCCGTGATACCGATGGCTCGTAGAGCTATGCGCCAACTCGTGCCGGTTTCCGTGAACGCAGTAGCGATCTGGCCACTGATGGCTTCGCCAATGTATACTCCAACATAGAGCACACTCTCTCCGATGAACACGTTCCTCCATCCCACCAAGTCGCTAATGAGACTGATGGATAGTGCCTCAACACTTGCCTGTCCGATGCCCATCCCAAGTCTTGCACAGAATAACTGTCCGAAGTTGTTTGCTAGAGACTGGAAGATGACGCATAAGCTCCACCATGCCGCTGTAACGCACAGAACCCATACGCGAGCTGAAGTATAGTCCGACAGGAAAGCGATGGGAAGAGCGAGTATGGCGTAGACAATGCCAGTTGCGTAACCAGAGAGAAGGCCATATTGTGTCGAGCTTAGTGAAAGATCTGCTAAGACAGAGGTTTGGAAGTATGATAGGATAAATTTGTCGTACTGTGCAATGAAGTAGTTGACAAATAAAAGTGCAATACAGAGGTATGCGTAGGCGTTGTGAAGAAGCGATTGCTTAGAAGTAGGTGCATGCGTGGTCGGTATCACCTCGTCTTGGTATGGTCGTTTCCTTCCCTCGCCATAGGGACGTTTCATATCCATTCTTGAGCGATCTCGTTTGTAGTGAGATGTGAACCTCGGGGATTCCAGGATAAGCTGTGTCTAGACTCGTTGGATACCAAGCGGTGGCGTAAAGTCGATGACGTAGCGACCACCACACCCCCGCAGCCGAGATACCCGTTGCGGCATGAGGTTAGGCGTTGCTGCGATCTGTAGTTCACAGGCAAATCCATTCTCCACAATGCCTAAGCCAGAACCGCAACTTCCCCTGGGCAGCTCTTCGACACTGCGCGGGTTTGCCGAAAGCTTCTCGTTCCACAACTCGCCAGAGGCATTCATCACATCGCGCATCATCGATTTCCAAAGACAGCACCCGGAGGCTGTAGAAAATAGAGCTATCGTTCGGGCAAAGGTGCTGAATCGCAATGTCGCAATTGTCTCCTCGCATGCGCAAATCCATCAAGTCCTGGCCCAGGATGCGGCAGGTTACGAAGCCAGTGGCGCATATGCTGAACTGATGGCACCGTTCTTTCCATCACCGAACTTGTTACTGACGGATGGTGACGAACATGCATATATGCGTCAAACATGGGAAGCGAGAATGGAGTCTCTCAAGAAAGTGCTAGCTCCTGCAGTATCTGAGCGGGTCAATCAACATTTCTCTGAGCCGTCAACGTCAGAGATAGACATGTATGAGTCTCTGAAAAGGCTTTCATGGAAGATACTGCTCGGAACATTCCTGGGTCTCGACCGCGACAACAGTCTCTTCGATACGTTGGAGAGCCTACAGGAAGACCTGCTTCGAGGCCAATTCTCGCTGTTCCCGGTGACAGTGAACACAGGTTTCTGGCACTCGCCTCGAAAGAAGGGTAAAGAGGCAAACAAGAAGCTGCAAGACAAAATTCTGCGTCATATGAAGGAAGAAATAAAAGCATGTCCATTTGTTGTTGCGGACCAAGGCGAAAGAGAGGACGTTGCAAAGCATTCAGTCCTCTTCACCAGCAGTCTCGCGGTCAAAGCGCTAGCATCTCTTTTGACAGCCTTCCTGTCAAACCTATTCTTGTATCGGACGAAGGACGGTCGATCGCTGGCCGATACTTTGGCCGGTGAAACTGAACCAGGGAGGCTTTCGCTACGCTTACGCGCTATACTATTGGAGACTGAACGACTTAGCCCGCCCATTGTAGGCGTCATGAGACGGTCAACAAGAGATAACGTCATTTCGTCGCCGGGGGAGCAGCCTGACATCAGAATACCAAAGGACTGGGACTGTTGGTTGTACTTCGTGGGCGGTGGCCGTGATCCATCGACTTACGGGTCGACTTGGGATGTGTTCGACCCAGATCGATATCTTGACAAGGGTCTGGCGCCCGGTGTAGCCTACGGAGCGGGTCCGAAGACTTGTTTGGGTCGCGATGCGATTCGCGAGATCGCGCTGGCTGTGGCAGAGACATTTTTGCGCCTCGGAATCCAGATCGATGGCAAGATTAAACCGCGTGGAGTACGCGGTTGGCTGGGGTGGGAACCGAACGATTCGGTGATGCCTGAGGATTGGGCTCGAGATATGAAGCAGTTGCCGACTCAGAGACCGTCAGACCCAATCATGATACGTGTGTCGCGTAGCTATCTATAGCAATATTTCAATGTATTCGTCGTTTGATGTTCCTCTTCGCTATGTTGAAAGCCAGCATGGTCCACCAGATAGCGTTCAGCCCAACCAGCATAGCGGTTCCGATCTGACATCGTTTCCTGAGCATCGCATATGCTTGGTACGGACCAAGGCCATGATGCTGGCCGTATTTCGTCAATATCCAGTAAACGACACCGAATCTTGAAGCGGCGAATATTGCCAAGAAGGCCATATCTAGAGCGGTGTTCGATGCTCCTGTGCGCTGTCGGTTCCACCATCGCACATGCATCAGTGGTGTACTGCCGTTCATCAATAAGAACGCGGTGATCACCCACATCCCCTTTTCTTTGCCGGCTGCAATGTACGCTTGTAACACGAGTAACGCGGATGAGAGCAGCACGTGATGAACGAGAGTGATGGGTGAGTCTCGGGCCACAACGCGTAAGGCAGCGCGAACTGCTGACTGGTCCTTCTCGCGGCGTGCATGAATCATCGCATAACTGTCGTACAGGAGGTAAGCGGTCTCCCATGCAGTCAGCGCGTTAGCCAACTTATTGTGACCGTTGATCGTAGGATTCCGCGAATCGTCTAGGTGGTGCCTCTGCTCGTGAGTGTCTTGAGGGGCTGATCCTGGTGACGGGTGAATCGGCCATGACGAGTATCGCAGTAACAAAAATGCAATGATCGAAGATGTTGTGGCATGCGCTGCTGAGACGGCCTTGTTGAACCTGATTGGTTCCGCTGACATTGCCAAGGTTTGATATCGCGAAACGCTGCGTTTCAGAGCGATGGAAGTGCCATGCGGATAGCGTGTTGATGAGAAGCGATGCAATGGTTGCAGTGGCTTCTTGGGCGCTCCTCGGCTCACTGGCACTCATGGTCCGTGCGGTATGCACGTCATCGACCCCTTCATCGCAGCCACCGAGTTGAATCCGATCCGCAATCACCATCATCACGTTATTCTCAATTCAAGCGATTCGCAGGAATGTCTCGTACACTTTACATCTTATACAATGCCGACGCATCTATCATGGGCAAATTGAGGTACGGTTATCGAAAGATTTGCCATTCTTCAGAGGAGAACCCAGCTTGTGCAGCCTGTACGCTTCCCTCGACAAATTCATTCGTCTGATAATGTGATCAAGTATGCTGATCCCCGCAGGTGATATTACACATGGCGGATTATCGTTGAAGGAAACACCAGCTTGGGTAGAAGCGAAGAAAGCAATAGAAGCCGAGTCCGGATACCACATCGTGCAGTGGCATAGAGACGAGCTGTCTGTAGAGGTTCGTGGCTACCGTGAGATCTTCAGAGTAATAGGGTCTAGGAACTGACCAGTTGTAGGTGAAGAACTTCGTCGAATCCAACAACATCCGTTATCCGACCATACTGTCGAGCGGAAGCGGTGGTAGTCTCGCAGAGACAATGAACAATTCGGAGCTTGCGGCTTGTAAAGGCAATGCACAAAGTGTCATCTCGAGGCTTCGAGAGAAAGGCATCATGCAGCAGAAAGCGGTCTCTCCTTCTCTGTAGCGAGTTCCATTGGATACAAGTTAGCTCAGCGCCTGTACGAGCCAATTTGTCCTTTGAGCAATGCCTAAGCATACTAAAAGGGCCATTGTCCATGAGAGATGTTGCAGATAGGAAGGAAACATGAGCATGGCTGTGAAGAAAGCCGCGCTTTCCGTCCCTTCGATAAGTGCTGGTCGCATTGCCACGTTGGTCAGCTCTTTAACCCTGTTTCCATCTTTTCCGCTGCCCTTGCGCTTCTCGAGAATGGCGCCAGTGTAGAACAAGACGAAGTTGTTGACGTGAAATGATGATTCTAACACAGCCACTGAGAGCCAGATGCTCTTTGCATTGGGCTCATCATTACGTGCTAAAGCGCAGGATATAGGAATGGCCGAATAGACGATGAAGTCGCCCAAGAGGTCGAAAAAGCCGCCAACATCCGAGGACTGGTTGCGTTTGCGGGCGACAGCGCCGTCGAGACAATCCAGTACCCTGTTTAATGCCCAGAATATGATACTCGCTAAAGTATTGTTGGATGCAGCGTAAATACAGGAGATCACACCCGAGGAAAAGGCCAGAAACGTGATAACTAGTGGCGAGCAAATGGAGGGGACGAGCGGCGTGATAGAATCGAAGAGCGTGTCTTTAATCGGTCGAAGCTGGATGTCTAACATGACTGCGGTAGATGTCGGCTGGATAGCGAATGATGGTGATGGGTAAGATGCAATTTCGAGATAGAATGCCTTCGGAACCGTTCCGATCGGATGACGTCAAGAGTTATGATAGCCCAGAGAGCGCCATAGGAAGGCAAATGCATGCGACTCAACACACCATGGACTTTCCTTCACGCAGAATCGCATGCAATCATGGTTTCGATGTATCGAGCTGCTCTAGGAACCCTGTTTCTCTCTTCCGTCGCCTTCCCAGACTTATACCAGCCTCTTCTCACACCTCTGTGGCAATGGCTGATACGAAACCCTCTATATCGTCTGTCAACCTTTGAGACGATATGGACAGTCCTTCTTTACGCAGTAATCGAGGTTTCTATGACGGTCGTATTCATGCGAAATCCGCAATGGAGATTTGCAGTCCAGCAGAACACGAAAGATGAGGACGCAGCTAGGAAGCCGCATGGGATGCGACGCCCTTCGCGGCGATGGGGCGAGGCTATCACGTACATGACGCCGCTACTACTCATGGATCTGACCATGATCAAGAAGTTTGCCGATGTTCCGCTTACTGCAATGCTAGAGTCGGGCAATTACCACGCGGCCGCGGCAGCAATCGCAGCAAACAACTCCACTACGGCGTATCACAGTACATTTCTGGTGCCAACACTGCACAACATGACGATGTCTTCGCCGCTGCAAACGCAACGCGCTCTTCCCGACCTTCCTCCTACGAGCCGCCGAATCGCCCTCGAGCTCGCGACGAGCTTTTTCCTCTACGATGCGCTCTTCTTCCTCTTCCACTACTCGCTTCACGTCATACCCGTGGTCAAGCGATGGCACGCACCGCACCATCGACACGCCGAGATACACCCCCAGATTACCAACCAGTTGCACATTCTCGAGCGACTGGGCCTGGTGCTGCTGGCCAACTTCAGCCTCAACATCATAAAGAGCCATGTCTTCACGCGGACTTTGTTTGTACCCATATTCGTATGGCTATTAGTCGAGCTGCATTCGGGGCTGGATCTACCGTGGGGTTATGACAAGATACTGCCCAAGGGTTGGGGAGGCGGAGCAAGAAAACACAGCCTCCATCATGCACGAGGCGGTGGAGGCTACGAGCCGTACTTTACATGGTGGGACAATTTGCTGGAACAAGCGGGCCAGATTCCGAAAGAACATGTCGAATAATTGCGCACGAGCCCCCTCGGTTGCAGATGCATCGTAGGACTACCAAAATGTCAACAAGCACAACGAAGGCGCGTCTACGAGCCACGTTTGTCTCTGGATAGCCAGAGAGCCACAGCAGTATAAATCATTCCACAGCACAGCTCTCTACAAAGCCTCACCGTCGTGCTGATCTTAAGGTGCGCTTTGAGCCTTTGCGGGAGCGGGAACTTGCGAGATACCGAGGTCGCTAAAGATCAGGCGCCAGCCCCTATTGAACGCCACAAGAGCTTGATCCACGATAGTATGGAAGGCCTCGCGACACGAAAATTCTTTATATAAGATTCTGGCTGGAGACAAGTTGTAGGTATCGCTCTTCGTCGCTCGTTCTTCGTACAGTCTTTTGCACAGTCGCTCGTTACAAAATTCTGTATTTCATCGACATTTCCACTCTTTCAAACTTCGTAATCTTCACAAGATCATTCCAGTCACCATGGCTTCAAAGTTCATCCTCGTCTCTTTCATCGGCCTAGTTGCTGCGCAACAAGACATCCCAGCAACTATGTCAGTCCCATGGATCGGCGACATCTTCGAAGGCTCAGTCTTGCCGAACATGGTCGGCTCCGTTGTCACCGCGAATCCCACCGCTACGACTCTTGCACTCGCCTGCGCTACCTCCATCGACTGTGGTCTCTTTCCAGCCGAAACCCTCGTCTTCGGTCCTTCGACTTGGAATCTCAACATGGGAGACCCAAGCCCAGAGTCCGACTTTACCGCTACAATGGACTGCGTGATCATGCCTGAAAGCGCGGTATGCAAAGAGATGGCTGGTGGAACCGAGGCAAACTTTCCCGGCAGCAGCACAGAGCCATACAGTGGCTCAGCTGTAGGCACGTTTGAACTGGTGATCACTGCCGGTGTGGAGAAACTCAGCCAGGCCATGGAAGCTACTACCACTGACGCTGCGACATCCACCGCTACTTTGTATAAATCACATCCGATGTCTGGATTCGTGGAAGAGATGAGTGCTAGCACAGGTGTTGTAGCAAATTCTGGGAGTGTGAGCCAAACTGCTAGTGCCGCTGCGGCAGATGCTACTGGTGCTGCCAATGCTAAGAGTGTGGTTGGTGGTGGTCTTCTTAGCGTCGCTGCTGGTGTAATCGGAGGCCTGTTGCTATGAAGCTTCATCAGCGTAATAATACTATGAACTTTAAGATGCTGTGCATTGCTTGATCCACAAAACCCTTGACACTTTCAACAAGCCGCGCACTGCGTCATTGCGCCTAAGGGAACATGCTTGGTCTCAAGACAGCGCACTCTATTCTCGGGGAGCAAAAGTTGCAGATCACCAAGATGCACTCAGCTTCACCTCTTGACGTAGCCAAGCTAAGCATTTCATGTTGCCAAGCTCGTCATCACATATGGCCAAGTGCTGTGCCGCAGCACTAACGGCTGGTTTCTAAATGCTCGCTTATATGTTGAAGTTGACACACTGTAACCAATGGCACTGTAGCAACAGTCATATGCTCCTGCTACACGCGAATTTGGTCGCACAACACTCAAAATCTACCGAAGTGCTGATGGACTCTCCTGCCAGTCTACCACAGGTGGTGAAGTTTCGTTTATCTTCAATAGTCCCAAGAACACCCCAT